CGCTCGCCAAGCTGGCCGAGCAATTCATCTCGTTGGACTGCCCAACTGTCTCTCCTGAAGCGCTGCGAGCGCGAGCTCGAGGTCCTGACGCGCCTTCTGAGATTTCTCGACTTGGTTAACCCGCGTTTCCAGCCGGGCGATAGTATCTCGAGCCGCTGAGACACGGTCCTCTGTGACACAAGATACGAAGTACGACGCCGACAAAGGTATGCAGATAGTACTCACGGATAGCGATACGCTCTGCCCTGGCTTGATCGCGCTGAGAAATTACCGCCTGGACACGCTGGGAAGCCTTCTGGAGATCCCGTTCCAATGTCGATACCCGATCCTGCAGGCGATTAAGCTCGGTGGAACGTGTGGCGATCGTGGTGTCGGCAACCATCAAACGATGCTCGTAGTTGTCATGTAAAGTGCGAGAGCGACGAGTCATGCGCTCGATCGCGGCCTCGAGGCGATCTACTTCTGCTTGAGCGGCCTTGTGAGACGTAGCTGATTCACGAAGCTCCGAAGCGAGAGAAAACTGGCGATCACGCGCGACTTGTAAGTCAGATTGGGACCGCGCGAGCTGGGACTCCAGATCCGCTATGCGACGAGCCGTGTCAGGCGGGACAATCACACCAAAAGAAGAGGCGGCGGCCAGCTGCGCCTCCAAGGTAGAGATCCGATCTTGGAACTCGGACACTGCTTCGCGGTAGCGGAGTTGCAGGTCATGGTACCGAAGACGGCAAGCCTCAAGCTCGCAGGAGTTGTCCAGACGGCCCTGCAGCGCGATCAAGCAGTCGGCGAGCTCCTTCCGAGTTGAGTGCAGCTGGTGATGGACCACTTCATACTTGTGCTGGCAAAAGAGCACGAAGGGCGACGCGGCATTGGCCGCGTCAGCAAGCCGATGATCCAGATCCTCCGCGCAACGTCGCGTGGCCAAAAACACGCGGCGCAGAACCTCATGATCCGAGCGAAGCTCGCGTAGTGCCTCGGTCTGGTCGATGGCATGCTGCAACGCTCTCAACGAGGCCCACACACCGGCAAGGTCTAGTGAGGGCTCAGCCAACTCAACGGTCGACACGGTGACCGGGCCGCCACGTGCGGCAGAGCGAGGAGAAAAGCAGGGCGAGGAAGTGAGGTCGACGAAAGCGCCGTTATCTACAGAAGACATGAGTTAGCAACGAAAAAGAGGCCAACAGCGCATAAGGGCGGACACACCGGAAGACAAGACGACGTGGCCGTGGTGACACCAGAGGAAAGCGACGACGCAGGCAACAGGCTGCTGTGAGAGGCGAATATCAGCGAGTGAAGCCCAACAGTTGGTGCTGTGGACTCTTACTCAGGGGACGATTGTGACGAAGTGATAATTGGCTTCTGGTAATAAGGGACTGATTGATGGGAAGTGACCCGATACAGTTCTGAGACTTGTGGTCGACGACGACGCCTCAGTGATTACGTCATCATCTGTGAAGATTACGTAACCATCGGAGTAGATGGACATGGTGCAATCATTTCGACACGCGATCTACCCTCAAGGATTCGATCTACTGTGGACACATCAACTGATTTGTACCCA